CCACCCACCCCCCCCAGCTGGCTTTTCCCTCTGCGAAGCGAAAGCGGAGCCTTGCGCTGCTCTGGATTAAAACGGGGAGGAAAAGGATTCAGGGAGACGCAGCCAGGAATTCCCACTTTTCCTCCAAAAGAAACACGGCCCCGATGTCGACGAGCAGTAGGATATCCCCAGCTTTTTCACTCCTTTTCTTCCTCCTCCTTTCTCCTGGGTGACACCTGGAAGAGGAACGTGCTCTTTTCCTTTGGGGAAAGTCTCAGGAAAAACTGGAGCCTTGGCGAAACCCTTCCTGGGGTGTGTGTGTGTGTGTGTGTGTGTGATTTTTTTTTCCCCCGTCACCTTCTGCTTGTGTGTCCCATGGAAGTTCATGTGTCCCAGCTGGGGGAGTCCCAGCGTGTCCCCAGTGCTCCCAGTGCTTTCCAAAATCCCACTCCCATGAGCATCTCCAGGCCTGCTGCTCTTGTCCCTCCTCTGATGCAGGATGCCCTGGCTGCTCCATGCCAGCTAATCCCTCATCTGCCCTGCAAACAGCATCACCTCTTTCATCCTCCACCAGACACCAAGGTTTGGCAAGAAGAAACCTCATGTGATGTTTCCTGCACATCCCCACTCTGTGTGCACCAGCTCAGGGCAGGGGGATGGATCTCAACCAGCCCCACATCCTGTAAAATTCTGTAAAATTACAGAATAAAAGGGTTTGTGTTGAAAGAGACCTTCAAAAATCACCTAATCCAACCCTCCTGCCATGGGCAGGGACATTTTCCACTAGATCCGGTTGCTCAAAGCCCCGTTCGACACGGCCTTGCACACTCCTAACGATGGGGCATCCGTTAGATGAGCCAGGGAAATGCAAAAGGCCGAGGAAGATTTTCCAGGTGCTGGTGGGAGAATAAGAGCTTCCTGCTGCCTCCTGCAAACCTCACAGACTAATTCAGGGGTAGCCCCTGTTTCAACCAAGGAATCGCTGAGAGGTGGCGCAGCCAGAGCTGCTGTGGCAGCAGCTGAATAACCAGGGATTTAAATATGGTAATTTTGGAGCTAATTACCAAAGCGATGTTGGAGACTGAGGGAAGATCACAGGGCAGAGGTGTAAGCTTGCAGTGACTGCATGGGATGGAGCAGGACTCTCCTTAATGAAATATAAGCCAGGCTTTTGATATTATCTAGCAAGATCTCGTGAGTTAAGGATGAAAGCTTGGAGGAGACCCATCAGCACAAGTGAGCAGGTCTCCTGTGTGACAGGAGCAGGACAGCCCAGGACCTTGCAGCGAGCAGGGTAGAGCTTGGGTGGCTTGGTCAGATGCCATCGCCGTCGGAGAACCGCTGCTTCATCCGACGCCTCGTTTCCATAACGAAGCTGCCTCGAACTGGTCGGGTTTCAGCTCCAGCCCCGCTCTCTGCTCTGCCCTCCCCATTCCTCCCCGGAAAGTGGGGCAGGTGGGTACGAGCTGCTCAGCTGGAGCCCACCCCAGCGTGGGAGCCGGCTCGTGATGATGCTGCACGGCAGCAGGCAGGCTCCAGGAGCCCAGGTGAGACACACCAGCATCCCTCTCCCGCTCGGCTTTCGGTTCGGTGGCTCTTTTTTATGCCTTTAGGTGGACAGCACACCAGCACTGAGCCCCTTTCCAATGTGGCTGTGAGCCTCCTCCCAGCGCTCCCTTGAACCCGTTTGAGCTGACTGTGCCCAAAACGAGCGGCTCCAGAGCAAGTTTGGGCTGAGACGTGCTCTGAAGCACGAGACAGACATTCCGCCCAGGCCTGGCTGCTCAGGCATGTCGCAGAGCTGTGGGGAGGTGAGATCCTGCACTCATTTCAGTCCAAGGGTTGATGTCAAGCTGGCTGAACTTCAAGGTGAACAACTATCGCTCCTAAGAACAGGTATTACTTGAATTTGTCTTCTATTGATTAGACATTATTTTAAGATGAGCTGAAGCAAGCCCCTCAAGGCCAACAAAGCCCGCCTGCAGGGGAGATGCACTATCTGCACTAAATCACCAGATGAAACGGCCAAACAGATCCAAACCCATTCCCACTCTCCTCGCCCGGCTCTGAGGCAGGTGATGTTTGGTTTTGATTTTAGGCAAGGGCTTTGTTCCGAGGCAAAATCTTCCTCTTTGAAACGAGGCCGACTCCAGCTGCGCACAGACCTCTCCGGCGCTCTGGACTCCAGCTGCTCTGGAGATGTTCTCCTGATTTGCTTTTGATGAATATTTCAGTGCTGCCAATAGCCCTGGAGACTGGGACCTCATGTCTCAGCCCAGAGCTCACCTATTTTGCAGGAGCCTTTTTACAGAGAGTGCAAAATAAAAGCAACAAAGGAGAAGAAAGAGCGAGAGTGGCGCTGGTGATAAGCAAT